GGAACGATATCCATAAACAGAGGAGAATGTAAAAAAAAACGACACAAGGTAAGATACAAGATGTGACAGCTAAGATATCGCTATCGCATTTCAGACTCGCAACAAAGTCCAAACAAATACTATGATACAAACATATTTAACTGTGTGAACTTGTTACACAATACTTGTAAATATATAAGCAATCTAATCAGTATAAAGTATAAGGTAAGAAATATAGAATCAAAACAAACATGTACACTATAAATAAACAATCATACAAATAATATACAAGCATTCATAGAAACAAAGCAGAAACATATTAAGTAAGAATAAAGTCAAGTAATAAAATAAATCTAAAGCAAACACAAAAATAAGTCAAACACATTAGAAATAGACAGAAACATAAGCAACATAATAAGAAAAGTCGAAAATTCTAAAATAGATAATAGTTTAAACAAAACATAATAGCAGGGTATAACAATGGTCAATCAAAAACAAAAAGAAAATTAATTATGAAAAACACAATCAATACAGGTTCAAACTAAGATATTAAAAACACAATGTAAGATATAAAATTAATAAAAGCGATTAAACGAGCAAAAACAAACATCAACAGGATCATATAACAAAATAGAATGATATAATAATAAGTATAAATCAAAGATAATAGGAAAAACAATCATAAAGCAATTAGAATAATAATACATACAAAATAAACACAATTAAAAGAGAACATATTTAATTGATGGAATGATGAGAAGTAGTCTGTAACATAGAAAAGATACAAAGACAGTCAAGTATAAGTAGCTAAACACAATTATTAATTATACAATCAAATAATCATGTAAAGCAGTATGCAAAATTTAGCAGATAAATAATTCATTACATAAATATTAGGAATTTACAAATTGTAGACACAGAAATTAGAATATGACCAATAATATAATTATGTAAAAATAAGCAGCACAATGCAAGTGGAATATTAGAAGGTAATTGAACATAAACTAAAAAGATATGATATACAAAACAACACACGACAGATAATCATGGAAGGTCAAGGTGATATGACACAACAACATATAAAAATGAATTATATGTAGTATATCACATCAAAAACAAAACAAATAATTATAGACGTATATCACAGCAATAATTATCGAAAACACACACTTTATATAAATATTATGACTAAATAAATGAAGCAGACTAACATGGACAAAGAACAAAACAAAATAAAACATAAGTATTAGAATGGATAAGAAACTGTATATAGAAAATAAGTAAGCAAAACACAAACAAAACTAAGAAAGATGAAATGATTGATAAATTAAATCAAACAATGATGATAGATGTAATTGGAAGTAAAGTATGAAATGAGATATACTAAATGAACTACTGATGAAACGTAAAAGAAATAACTATGTTAACTAATAAATAATATAACCCAAATAACACAAATAAACTAATAAATTAATAAAATTAAAGATAACATAAAACGACATACAAGAAAACATATAACTTGATAAGTATCCAAATAATAATGGTAATAAAACACGTACATGAAAAGTAAAATGTAACCAAAATTATGTGGTAACATACACAGCAAACATGTATAAATACATGTACAATACGTAGAATTAATAAAATAAATACAACACAAAATAAAAATAACTACACCATAACGTGACTACTAACAAAAATTGTAGCAAAAACATAATAAATATTAAATCATAATAAGTATAGCAATACACAAATTGAAACGAAAAGAATATGAGCAAGAATACACTGCATAAAATATAAAACTCACTAACTACAAAAATATTTCGACTAAATACATAACCATAATACAATATGTAAAAACATAAAAATCAAAGCTAAACAAACACACATTGTAACAACCTTTAATAACCCTATACACAAACTATAAGGTCGTAACACCACATACTCACACCGAAAAATAACAACTCCTATTCAAAGAAAATATAAGAATAAAACGATATTGATATAATATGATCTACGAAAAATACAAAAATAAGAGAAACAAAACAGAAAAGTAACACGATGTAAAATAACACAAGTCAAAATAATCAAAATACCAATCTGAGAAAGAAAAACATAATTGAAGGACTCAATGCATTCAAATAAGTAACAAACAAATTGACAGTATAAAACTCAAAATAAATTAACACATATAAAAATTGTAGAATACACTGAAACATAAAAACTTACTAATAATACTAACTCTCACAAACATACTACTAGAAAAAGAAGTATAATATATAAAAACAAAAACTATGAAAGGTAAAATAGGTATATAAGCAAATGAAAACATAAGAAGGGCATAATTCGGTATAATAAAAACACCGATATATTTTAGATAAACATGGTTACACAGTTGATACTAGAAAGAATGAATGACTATAAATCAATAAAAACAACATCGTAAATATAATAATCTACGTAAATACCCTATAATGAAAAGAGAATAGTAATTATAAAAGAATGAAAAAGTAAAACATAACACAAGAAACGAAAATAATGAATAGAGAATGAACAACAAACAATGATATAATAAAAGACATAAACATCTAAAAATACTATAAAATGAATACAAAGTTTAACACGCATATACAAATAACAAAACCAATGCGAACATAATAAAATAATCTAACAAGGAAAAACTTACTGATAAAAACTATATACTGAAATGTAAATGATAAGAATATACTGTATATGTAGAATATTAAAATCATGAATCTATTAAAGTATATCATAAAATACGAACAATATACAATAATCTAAACATAAGTAATTAATAGATAATATGACAGAAAAACATACACATACACAAGTTTAGATATGCAAAAATATATTTAAACACAAGAAAATAATCTGAATATCAGATATGCTATGTGATGTATATGTGGAGTCTAGAGCAATGCAAAACACTTAATAACATTTTGAACAATAAAATAATATAATAAATAATGCAGAAATCAATACAATTAAACGATATATATAGTCAAATCAAAGAAAATATAGTTGTAAAAATAATAACATATATAGTGACGACCGATACGAGGAAAGATGAATTATAGGTAGAGTGTGTAGTCGCAAAGCGATGAAATAAGAACAGTGGGAAGCCCCGGAGTCAAAGAATGGTAAGATAAGGACGAAAAGAAATCTATCAAGAAAAGAGGATAATGGCTAACTATAATCTTACGGATGAAATATGATATGTATCTAAATTGTCCATTATATTCTCACTAATAGGAACTCGGGACCGTGATCGGAACCGTGACCGGGACCTTGACCTGCGTGGGCCACCACTAAAACCTGTCACGCCCCGCTTCCCAAAATACACGGGAATCGAAACGCGAACAAGCCCGCGACGTATTAGATTGAGAAGAAATATACACTATCATTTTTTTTCTTTTTCTTTTCTTCTCAATCTAATACGCTAAGCGTCTGGAAATAAATACAAAGCAAAGGCACAGGTCCCTGATCACAATCAGCAAGAATATAATAGACAAACTCAGAATAAAAATATCATATCACAAAGGGAATAACATCCGAGACATAATATTCGGATTAACATGCCCTTATACACATCTATCTGAATGAAATACTGGAGAATATAAAATACAATGATCAGGTGGAAAAGGAAAGTGCTACAAAACAACTTAAAAGGAGTGACTAAGCTTCGTCTTCTTCTTCTGCTACATCTGCAACACACTCCTGCTGAGTATCCTCGGCTCTGGCGCATCTCCAAACTGAACATGTTCTTCTTCTAAGTCTGACGTACACCAGAGAAAACAGGTGTACGTCAGGGCGCATGGCACACGGCAAGACCCCACAAAAGAAAAGAACGAACGAAAACCCAAGCGAAAAACGATACGATAACAGAAATGAAAAAAGAACGTGCAACTGGAAATCCAACAAAATTAATCAAATAACAAGTCGATCATGCAACTAGCGATCAGAACAATCATCCAACTAACAAGATCATACAATAGATGGAATTAATACTAAAAAATCTACAACTCGAGACGTAGTACGTCGAGCGAAATAATCCAAACAAGGAAACCCTCATGTATATACCATATGTCTCAAATTATAGATAATTAAATATTAATCCCGATCTATGTATGAAAAGAAATACAACCGGCCTACATCTCACAAGAAGTCATACCTAGCCAAGAAACAAGGTCATGTAACTAGCCATCCTATAACAGGTCACTCGTCCACATCTCACACAGAGTCAACGCTCATATTACCGGATAACTGACTGTTCACAAATCCTCTACGCGCATCCAATACCGCTACACGAATTGGTCAGAGGACTACACGCAATCCGATCTCGGCCTGGTCCGAACTCAGGCAAAGCTCAGGTGACGAAACAAGTCACAGACTAAAGTGACTACACGAATTCACTTTAGACCAACAAACCAACCCTAGTGACTACACGAATTCACCGGCGCGGGCTGGAAGTTACATCAACAGTCACATCTAAGCACATGAACATTAATTTCCCCATCCCAACTCTTCTCGTTTTTCTAAATCAACCATAATCCTCATTAAAACTCGGGTTCACCACCTAACACTACCACATAATGGGTCTATGGGGACGGTTCGTGGGGCGCGGTTTAAAACCGTTCCCTTTGCTTCCTAAGGGGACGTTTTTGTGACGGTTCCAACCGCTACTAAAAAATCTAAGACAACGCTTTAAACTAAAGCGTTGGGCTTGACTTAGGCTCAGACAAAAATTTTATAATAGGCTAAGGGGACGGTTTTATTATGGGCTAGGGGACGGTTTTATTTAGGGCTTTTTATGTTAGGGTGCAAACATTAAAAAAAATTCTAATTTTGTTTCATATAACCGTACCCCTCATCTTCCCCCGATCAAAATCAAACACCTCCTCCCATCGAAGAGTCCTAGGGTTTTTTCTCGTTTCCCACTTCTGCTGCCTCCTCTCCTCGACGGAGCAAAACCGCAGCCTCCTCTCCTCGGCCCCAAATTCTATTTTTACCCAAAAAAATTCGATCTCTATCCCTCTCTGCTTCCCTCCCTCTCTCTCGCCAAAATGAGCGCCGCCTTCCTCCTCTCGTCGTCGTCGTCATCGTCATCACCGTCGTTGTCGGATCTCTCTCGCCACCTCCTCCTCTCCCCTAAAATCCCAAGGTCATCATCGTCGGAGTTCTCTTCCCTGATTCGAGCTCCTCTCGTCGTCTTCGTCGCCGACCGCTCGATTAGACATTGCTGTCGCCGCCGCTCGAAGCTTTGTCGCTCCCTCCTCCTCTTCGGTGAAAACCCTAACCCTAACCCTAACCCCACTCCTTCCCTCAAAAACCTAATCACCACTTTGGCCTTCTCCTCTCTGCATTCGATCTTTTTTCTGGTAAGTAAAAGATTTTATTGATGATATGAAATTTGGTTGAACTTTAAGGCTACAATTAGTAGCACACCATGGTTTTTGTGTACTAATTTTAATGCTATGATTTCAAATGAATGTGTTTTTTTGTCAATTTAGCTGAAGCTAGGATTTGCGATTGGACAGTGGATAACAATGCCATCTTTGATTTGTGCTGGATAAAGGTATTCCTCTCATTTTCATGACGCTCATGTTGATATCTCAAGATTATTGTGATTGGATTTCAAATAATATTACTTTGCAGATAAATTCTTAGTATTAAAAGAGGAACACTACCATCACATTTAAATAAGCTACTACATCTTTGGATCTGAGAGTTGGTTTTATGAGGCTGTGCCTTCTGTTATAAGCTTATGAAAATTTTATGTATTATCTGTAGGAAACTAGGACTGACTGTACTTGCTCAGAACTCAAACATAGAATATCTGACATTTTGGTAGATGCAGATGGCTATATATTTTCTTAATTGACATATTTTATAAAACGCTAGACAAAAGATTCAGAGATTGTATATTTATTATGTGTCATTATAATTATTGCTCATTATGAGCATGTATCGAGTTGCAGCATCTCTTGTAAAGCACTGCTCATTTTTCTTTGTCTTGATTTCTTGCAGGATGGCATTCAACTATTAACTTCCTCGGGTGATCAGACAGTAAGTTATAAAAACCTTTGGAACTTCCAACCAAGGAGCACATATAGTTTTTCTTCTAGGAGCATAAAGAAACACACATTGATTTTCCCCCTATAAAACTGACTTGACTTATTTACACTACCATTTTCATCTGATATATTTCTTGTATGTATGATCTGTGGATTCACCTATTTCATGTCTTTGCATACTTGCATCCGGATTAAACTGTTATGGATCTTTGTATGACATCTTCTTTATCTTAAATGTTTTCCTTCATCGGCAAATTCACTACTTTATGCAAATTGGATTATGGTTCTAAGATATTTACTTTTAGGATAACTACGAGGTTACAATTGTTAGACCCTAGAGGGGGGGGTGATTAGGGTCTTATTCTAATCTAATCCGATTAAATGCCAATTAAAATTAATTAATACGTTATCCTAGCAAGTATGAAATACAACAATATTTGTAAGCTAGGATAAGCAATGTAAACAATAAGATATATCCTATATGGTGAATATATATATGCAAGGATATATAAACTAACACAAGGGATAAACCATCTAAACAAGATAGTGGATAAAGTGAATGAGCAATGCACAATTGGCGATATAAAATAAATGCAAAAACAACTACGCCAAAGACAAACTCAAACAAGCGATATGATCACGGAGTTCGGACCTTCCGTCCTACGTCTCCGCTCCCCACTCCCGGGGAGAAATCCACTAACACAATCCGGTTTGGAAGCAGGAACTTCTTCTACACACTCGGTTTTCTAGCTAACCGAAAACTCTACAACTCACACTCTTGCAATCACACTCTACACCCACTAAGTGTTGGACCTAGCCGTGTCTCCCTCAAGTGCTCGGTTACAACCTCTCTTTAGGCACGTCAACCGACGCCACTCCTCTTGGGACGATCCCCGACTCTCACCACACACTCCTCACTCGGTGTACAAGTGTATTAAAAAGTGATTCTCACAATAAGCACAAATATAATAAATGATTGTTCTCAAAACAAGGTGAGAACTCAATTAAGCTCACTCTCAATGTCACAAACCCACAACCCTAAATTATACTATGAATGTAAATACAATAAGCTCAATAGGTTGTGTGTGAACAAAGAGTATCAATAAAAAAATTAAATTAATCTCAACACTAGCTTAATAAAAAGATAATCAAACAATATAAAATATGAAGCTAGATTGAGTTTAGAAAACTTCTCAATAGATCAAGAGTGGAAGGAGAAGAGTTGGATGCTCAAACACCAATAGATGATCTCCTCAAGCTCTTGTGGCTTAAACGAAACCCTTAAACAAGCTTAAACAAGCTTAAACTCTTTTTAAAACCCTTATTCAAAAACTTCTTTTAAAACATTCTTGATCACTTGAAAAGAGATCAGCAATTGGGTATTTATACCCACTCAAAACTCAGCCAAAAACCCAAACAAAAAGACAAAAAATAGCCCAAAGCAACGGTAATAAAAAGAGCCGTTGGAAGCAGAAAAAGATACTGTCGGTCGACTGGAAATTTCACCGGTCGACCGATGGAGCTATCGGTCGACCGGACCGGTCGACCGACAGACTCTCTGTCGCCTGCGCAATAACATGTTTCACCAATCACAGTAATATCCTCTAGTGGAAACAAATATAAGTGAAGGTACAAAACAGGCAAATAAAAAAAAGGTGCTATAGACATGATGCGGAATGATATAACTCATAAATAAAATCATGTCCTGGAATACAACTGATATACCTCTGAAATATGAAATAACATTATATGTCGCAACATGAATAATCTAGAAATCATACTAAGGCGAACTGCCTTAACAATATGAGTACAACTCAAATGACTGAATAAAACTCAATACTAGAGTGGAGTCTCTACAAGTAACAATACGCGACGGTGACTATGCAAGAATCCCGTCATCCTACGACTCTCTGGTGCTCTGAGCCGCCTGCAATTTAAAATAAAATAAAAGGGGAAAATAACAACAAGAACGTCAGAGCGTTAGCAAGATTATCTCCATCCGCCCCCGGGGAGAGCTACTAGATGAAGTGGAGGCTCTATCTATTAAGCATAATCTACCTAGATCATTTTCCCCGCATCCAATGGTAATAATACTTAGAAATCTACAACGCGAGACGTAGTACGTCGAGCGAAATAATCCAAACAAGGAAACCCTCATGTATATACCATATGTTTCAAATTGTGATTAACTAAATATTAATCGCGAACTAAGCAATCGAAATACAGCTAAAAAGTAAAGCATCATAATAGACATCAACATATATATCAATGCATCTCAATCGTCATAAATCTCATCAATGAGTCGAGTTCACTTTTGATGTCCGCCAAAATGCTCAAGCTATCAACAATCGTCAAAATGCAACTCATGTATAAACTGTATATGTCTGGCATATCGACGAACTATCACATATACTAAGCGGTGCTCATTAACGATATCCATCTTGTGTATAAACTGTATATGTCTGGCATATCGACGAACTACCTCATGTAATACTGAGCGGTGCTCATTAACGATATCCATCTTGTGTATAAACTGTATATGTCTGGCATATCGACGAACTACCTCATGTAATACTGAGCGGTGCTCATTAACGATATCCATCTTGTGTATGAATTGTATATGTCTGGCATATCGACGAACTACCTCATGTAATACTGAGCGGTGCTCATTAACGATATCCATCTCGACATAAATAATAGGTTCACCGACCTCTGTGCACGCTTGTGCGGAAACAATATCATAGATTCATCGACCTTTGCGCATAAACATGCGGAAACAATAATATAGGTACATCGCATCATAGTGCGGATCGACGAAAAGGTATCATCGCATCATAATGCGGATCGACAAATAGATAGCATCGCATCATAGTGCGGATCGACAAATAGATAGCATCACATCATCATTCAAAAATAATTCAAACAAATAAATTCGGCTGCACAAATCTGGCTGCCTACGTACCCTCTCTCTCAAGGGATCAAGCCTCCCGTAGTTCATCAGAGATACTCATACAAATATATGCAACTCTAATTTACCGTCTATCATGGCAAAACTAACATAATATGTCAATAGACCAGCATACAAATATATGCAACTCTAATTTACCGTCTATCACAACAAAACTAACATAATATGTCAATAGACCAGATCTGGTCATAATCCCATTGGGATACACACATGCGTATTACAACATACTCATGACTATAAGTGTAACATTAAGCGGCTCAAACTCCGCGAACGCATATCAAAATGGCGCAAACCAAACCAACAAACAGAACGGGAAAAATAGTCGGAATCCCCAACCCCGATCATAAACAATGAACAGTGCATATTTCCAAAACTCCAATACTATGTATATATATGTATTTTCATCGAGTTCACTTTTGGTGTCCGCCAAAATACTCAAGCTATCAACAATCGTCAAAATGCAACTCATGTATAAACTGTATATGTCTGGCATATCGACGAACTACCCCATGTAATACTGAGCGGTGCTCATTAACGATATCCATCTCGACATAAATAATAGGTTCACCGACCTCTGTGCACGCTTGTGCGGAAACAATATCATAGGTTCACCGACCTCTGCGCATAAACATGCGAAAAACAATAATATAGGTACATCGCATCATAGTGCGGATCGACAAAAAGGTATCATCGCATCATAGTGCGGATCGACAAATAGATAGCATCGCATCATAGTGCTGATCGACAAATAGATAGCATCGCATCATCATTCGAAAATAATTCAAACAAATAATTCAGCTGCACCAATCCGGCTGCCTACGTACCCTCTCTCTCAAGGGATCAAGCCTCCCGTAGTTCATCAAAGATACTCATACAAATATATGCAACTCTAATTTACCGTCTATCACAACAAAACTAACACAATATGTCAATAGACCAAATCAAGTCGTAATCCCATTGGGATACACACATGCGTATTACAACATACTCATGACTATAAGTGTAACATTGAGCGGCTCAAACTCCGCGAACGCATATCAAAATGGCGCAAACCAAACCAACAAACAGAACGGGAAAAATAGTCGGGATCCCCAACCCCGATCATAAACAATGAACAGTGCATTTATCAAGAACAGTAACTAATGCATATTTCCAGAACAATGAACAGTGCACATTTCCAAAACTCCAATACTATGTATATATACGTATTTTCACTATTCACTGTGCAATTAAAATTCGTGCTCACTGTATAAATAATCATTTGTGTTCACTGTGTAAATACAATCACTTGTGTTCACTGTGTAAATATGTTCACTGTGCGTGTATATATATATATATTAACATATATATAATTTCTTCTCTAACAGAATTAAATCTTAGGATATTTAGTTTACTGTTAACATCAGAATAAATCACTTAATTTACACGTAAATTATCCATGTGATTACTCATACATGATGAGGTCTGTACAAATAACTAACAGAGGCAATATTTCACTTAAATAAATTTATTCAAATAATCACAAACCCAAGTATTTAACTGTTATTAAAATTACATAACAGTTTACTTAATTATTCCTCTAGAATTCCTTTTAACATGATTTTAACATGATTTGAACAAGGTTAATAATTTAAAACTAAATAAATTCCAACCCTAATAATTTCACATAATTAATTCCAACAGTGGATTAAAAATTATCCTCAAAAGTCTAATTTATTTTAGCACAACAATTAGACTTAAGCATGATAAAATCTCATTTTAATTTCTCATAATTTCAACTAAATTATGGGAAGGTTTAGGGAAATTTTGAGGAGAGGAAGAGAGGCTTGTAGAGAGTGTGGAAACTAGTAGAAGGGTTTGGGGTTTATTTCTCTTTTACAGAGAATTTTCTGAGGATGGGTCTCTGTTGAACACAGAGAATAACCCCCGAGCTCATCACTTAATGAATGAATCCCCCAAGAGAAATAAATGCAATTTCTTTTATCTTTGTAGGTACAAACCAATCCCCTAAATCACGCTGAAGGAGGAGCACGTCACCCCGCACCGCCGCTCGTTGTGGCGCGACGCGGAACATGGCCAGAAAACACGGAAGAAAACGCGGAGGTGGAGGTCGTCGTTGTCGGGGAAGAAAAATTAAACCTGCTACAGTAAAACTTTCCATTTTTAACAAATTTCTACGCATTTACAAACTGCTACAGTACTACAACCGTACCAATCATCTACAGTGTTACTACAGTGAATCACATTTTTCATTTTATCTACAGTGCAGGACTACAGTGCTATACGTATTAAAATACGCTACAGAATACTA